AAGGAAGGAAGGAAGGAAGGAAGGAAGGAAGGAAGAAAGAAAGAAAGAAAGAAAGAAAGAAAGAAAGAAAGAAAGAAAGAAAGAAAGAAAGAAAGAAAGAAAGAAAGAAAAAGAAGAAAAGTCCTTCGACTGTATCAAAAGCTCCTAAGAAGTGAAGCTAGTGGAAAACTGGTTTACTAATCCCACCCAAAGCTTTCCCCTGGAAAAAACAAAGCAGAGGCAGGTTTCCCAATGGAGCACATGGTTGCGTTAAATTTCAGAGGACTGGGATGCTGTAGTTTATAATTTAATAATATGTAATCGCTTTTGCTTTGATGTGCTTATGCTCTTCATCGCTAAGCCACACTACAAATCCTTACCAAGAAGGCCATTCTGTGCTTATACAGGTGGGCCTCACTATATGGGGAAGGTATGGTGTTTTCTTTGACCTAGACTTGGCTGGAGACCCCAGGAAGCCCCAGTCAGGCAGGCAGCACTGTACCCTGGGGCACTCTCATTCTTATCCCCGGGGAACCCAGAGGTGGGGGCCCCAGCACAGTGCTGCACAACCAACCAGCTCACCAGCAACAGAAGCCAGTCTCCTGAGACGGTCTCGTATTCCTTGAAGGTGGTCAGGACAGCCAGGATCAAGCACCCCAGGACAATCAGGAACCTGAAGGAAAGGAGCCAGAGCGAGGCATTTTTCAGCCTGGTTTCCTACATGGGCAGAGTGCAAAGCTGCAGCTGGGATGAAGCTGCATCTCCCACTATGTGCTTTATACCTTGTCCTCCTTAGTCTTCATGGTAAGCTGTGAGGCAGCTGAGAATTATTATTCCAGGTAAAGAAAACTAGAGGCAAAGCCATCTACTTTCACTTAACCAGCTTGTTAGTAGAGAAGCAGATCTCTGCTCCCAACACTGGGGACTTTCAGAGCTTGGAAAGGCCAAAAGTTATCAGAGGTTTGGAAAACACAAGTATGAATAAATTAATAAAACACCCTGCATATTCAGGACTAAGACTATGATTTTTAAAATATACAAAAATACTGTTAGTGGGAAGAAAATATAAATTCATTTCAAAGGTAGATAAATTCAGCAAAAGCTTCTGTCCTCATCTTTGAGCATTATTCTCTGTACAGTCAATGGCTTTCAACTAGTGATGCTTAAAAAATTGTTTTTGAAATTCTAGAAATAATAGGACTCCTTACACTGAAGCATGCTGGATGTTGGTGCTTTCAAATTCATGTAGAGATCATTTGGTCCATGCCCCTGCCTCAGACGGAAGCAAACTGCAAATAACCCCTTGAGACTTTTAAGTTCATACAAGTTGTCCAATTCCAGGTAATCTGGCACCCTGTCCTGTTTGGGGATTGTGTCTACCTATGCTTCAGTGGTCCTTGTTCATTCATTCATTCAATGCATATCTGCTAGACAATGGGAACATGAGATGAATAAGCTGGATGCACTGCAGCCCTCATAGTCCAGACAACAGAAAACTGCCTCACCTATGAGGCTAAGCACTGGGACATAAGAAAGCCTGGAAATCTCTGCTTCTGACCTGGGCTGGGAACCAAGTCCTGGCTCTGGTCCTTGTTGATCCCGATCACATTTGCTGATCAGTTAACCTGCTGAACCTCAGACCTGAATCTCTGTTTCCGTCCCGCCTAGGAGCCTCAAGGTTCTAACCCTCTTGTGACTGGGCATTGTACTTGAGATGCATGACCCCTACCTGTGCCTGGAATCTGCCTACCCTGAGTGCCAAACTTCTTCCCAGTTGATGAGGTTCCTGGCAACTGAGGTGCCCCCCGCACTCCTGATTGGTAAGCACCCACCACCTACCACTTCCCACTCACCATCCTCACAGCTCACTCCTGAGGTCAAAATGGCCACCCCCGTGCTGGAGGGCGGTTGAGAACAGGTTGTCTAAAGTGTGACCGCAGAGTCCTGCAGTGAAGCTATCCACTGCAGCCCCCATGTGAGCAGCTTTTTCTTCAGTTGGCACTGAACATGGAGCTCTAGCCCACGGCTGGGTTGGTGTCTGGGGAGGAGGAAAGCTTGGTGTCCCTAAGTAGACTGGTGTGGCAGAAGCAGGAGCCCTTTGGCAGTCTCTGAGCCTCCTCCTACCAGCCCAAACTTGGTGTGTTGCTGAGCACATCCTAAGATAAGCCTGCTGAGTGAGTCACACCCCATGATTGCCTCCCATGAACCTGCAGTGTGCCTGCCAAGGTGTTGGGCTGTCACTCTTTGGCATTAGTTTTGGCATATGGCAAAGGCAATGGGGTAGTAACAACTGTGCCTGTGACACTTTGTGTAAGGCTCTGTCTTCACAGACGGGAGCCAGCCTCCATGTGAGCCACCATATTGAGAAGGACCCATGAGGGTTTTATCACAAGGAGCTGCCCTGGCTTCTGGGACCTGAGAGATCCCATGGGCTTCTGGGCTCAGCTGACGACCAGCATGAAAGTGGGTCCCACACAAGGATTCATGAGAGCTTGGAGGGTGCCTCTGTGCTCCCACAGGGAATGCAGCCCAGCCAACACCTTGACTGCTGCTCTGTGAGAGCTCAACTCAGGACCTCATGAAGCCATGAACAGACTCCCACTGCTTGGAAACTGTGAAATAAAGAACTGTGTTGGCCTGGGTGGTTACATCAGTGACAATTTGTGACACAGCAGAGAAAATTCACACACGGTGGAGCAGGAGACTGTACAGGCTGCGTCCACTTCTGCAGAGTGGAATGTGCATGTGATGCCGGGCCCCATCTGTGTGCGCCAGGGACAGAGCCGGGGCGGGGAGGACTCTCATTACCCAGGACTGGCTTGGCCTGGCTTCCGGTAGGACCTGGAAGTGTTTGAGTGTATCAGCACAAATGCAATTTTAGCGCTCAGAGATGGCCCTGCTGTTGGAATTAAGAGCACAGAATAAAAGGTGGCCCTGAGAGATGGGGAGGAGCAGGATAGGAAGGGGTTCAGAGGCTACAAGGGGAGGTCGTGCTGTGCTCATTCTGCAGATCTCAGCACAGACACACACAGAGTGTCACTGAAAAGCACAATCAATGATCAAATTTGGGGACACTTATTAGAGTAAAAGACATATTACCACAAACAGTGGGCTAAGTGCATTCAACATGAGGGAGAGTATTTTGAAGGGTGTTAATGGCAATGTGCCTTTTAATGTAATAAACTTCCATTCACTATATTTTTGATCAGCTGGAGGATATTTATAGGTATAGGTACAGCTCCCCCTTTATGTGAAGTTTTGCTTTGTTTAGTTTTAGTTTTGTATGGTCAACTATGGTCGGAAAATGGTACGTGAATGATTCTAGTTGTAAGTACTTTAATTGTTTTAAACAAGTTTTACTACAGTACATTATTATAAAAATTATTCAATATTATTATTTTTTAATTTGTATTATTTTTACTTATTTGTTTTTTTTGGTACTGGGGATTGAACTCAGGACCTTGCTCTCGCAAAACAGACAGCAGAACCACTGAGCCAAATCCCTGGCCCATCGATCTTATTATTAGTTACTGCTGTCAATCTGTTACTGTGTCTAATTTGTAAATTAAACTTTATCTCAGGTATGTGGCATGTAAAGCAAAAGTGTAGTAATACGTAAGTGTGGGCCTCTCCACCATTCCGGGGTTCACGGAGCATCTTCGAATGTGTCCCACGCAGGCTGTTCACCCACATCTACGTCACATTTATGCCCACATCTCACAAAGACAGCACTCTGAAGGACGGGGGCTGGAAGACCACTGTCACCGCCGACAGAGGCTGAGGGCTGGTAGGAGAGGACGAGGGTGCCATGGGGTGAGGCCTCGAAGGACTGGTGGCCAGTGGGTGTGCAGGCTGAGCACCGGGTCACAGGGGCTCAGGGGGAGGGGACGGGGGCACAACAGGCTGTGACAGCCACCCAGAGGATGTGCAGGGGCCAGCGGAACCACAAGGATAGAAACAATGTGTGCACCTGAGCACGTTTGAGGGCCCAGTGGGAACCTCCACCAGCTGGTCAAAATCTAAGAGTAAAGCTTGGGAGAGAGGCTGGGTCCGGAGACGTAACAGACTTGCAGCTCCAATGGTCTGACTCTGCAGCCACCATTAGAGAATGGGTGTTCAGCCCTAACCACCCACTATGGTAACCCAGTTTCAAGCAGAACCAGGCTGTGGCCAGCAGAGGGCAGCAAAAACCTATACAGATCTGCATTTTCTCAACCTCACCAGCAGCCCCTGAATTTACTTTCTACGACTGAAGAACAATCATTAATGTATAGTAAATAACCAGTGACGCCCTCTTCAACTCGAGAAGGGGAAATAATCCTTGGTTTCTTTCAAATTTCCATGCGTCCTTAAAATAAGGAGTCAGTCTTAGACAAGCCATCACTGTGTCAGCCTTACGTGTCTGGACCTCACGCCGGGTCCTCGCCTTCTCCTCTCTTGGTGCACACTCCTCTCTCTCCAGACCTCACCGGTCCTCCTTCCTTCCTCTTCCTCTGCTCCTCGTCACCTTGGTTTCCTTCTCTGTAGTCCTGTTTCCTTCACTTCCTCTCCCCTCCCTCCCTTCTCCCATTTTCTCCTCTCCTCTCCTCGCCTCTCTTTTCCTCTCATTTCCTCTCCCCTCCGCTCCTCTCGTGTCTCTCCTGGCCTGCCCTCCTCTCTCTCCCTTCCTCCTCTGCTCTGCACCCTTCTCCTCCCTCTCTTCTGACATGGGCAGACACCCATGGCCAGGACCCTGGGGATGGCTGCCAGCACGTCTCCTGCCTGCAGCATCCTGGCCATCTTCACAAGTGAGGCCAGTGTGCTCAGCGAGGTCAGGCATGCTCAAGTCAGATACTGGCCTCTCCCTGCTCTCACCTCTGTCGCTCTCCTCACTGCCTTCCCTTCTCCAAGGCAGCCGGGCAGGGGAGGCGGTGGGGAGCAGATACAGGAAGGCCGGGGGGTCGCTCCGGCAGTGCACCCTCCTCCTCCTCCCCATGCCTGTGTCTGTGCAGGGGGAAGGTTCCATTTCTAAAATGTGTTCAGAGACCCCTACGACTGGCACTCTGTCTGAAGTTATTACCGGCCCCTTTCAGTGAGTAGCTCATGAAATGTCCCACAAGCAAAGGGAGGCAGGTAGCCCTGACCCCACCAGACTCCTGGGATCTTTGCCCGTTTTCCCTAAATGCCTGCAGCTAGGACCATCCTCCCCGAGGAGCTGAGGTCAGTGCTGAATTATCCAACAGAGCAGCTGCCACTGACATCCAACTCACCACACCACAGCGCCGGCTCAACCTGGAAGGCAGGGCCCAGCCTAGACTGCATCACAGTCTGCGGGGCCCCAGCCGAAGTGCCTCAGAGGCGAAACACCCATGGTTTGCCAGGGATTGCTTTGGTGTGTTTCTGAGTTATAAGTTGATACATCATATCTATACATATTTATGAGCCATCTCTTCTCAGTCCATCCACATTGTCACCAGTGACAGGACTTCATGCTTTCTGTGAGTGAACTGTATTCCATTCGGTCAGCAAAAACCAAACAGACAAACGGATCACCTCAAACTAAAAAGTGTCTACACAGCAAAGGAGACAATTAACGGAGAGAAGTCTGCAGAAAGGAAGAAAATATTTTCAAACTCAACCTCTGACAAGGAGTAAATATAAAGTTATATTTTATATAAAATATAAAAAGAACTA